GGGATCGAGGTGGCCATTTCGTCGTGCCATCACGCCCGATCCAGCGTCCCTCGAGGTGGAGATTAAAAATCACTCACACATTTAGCCCTATTATAGGCGCCGCGCCGTCTTGCTGGACAGTTATCAGAGTTTGCAGTTCTTCTAATTGAGGGAATACATACTCCAACATATCCAAGTCAAACAAAACACACCGTGATTCATCTTGTAAACTCGCCATTTCTGATTTGTTATTGTATTGAATCATAGCTGTATTGTTGTCAATCAGCTGTGTTTTGGTGCTACCAACTTCAATAAATAAAACCTGATTAAATTCCCTTCAAAGCAAAGCATTCAAGTTAAGTTTTTGCTCATTTTTCTTACAGCAAAGCTATTACATCAATCAGGCCAAGACTTTGTGGATATACGGTATTTCCTATATCAAAGGACTATCTTGATGGCCGTTGAGATAGATTTCCCAATAAAACAGAGGTGTCGTTACGCCAAAAACTTATATAGGGTCAATTTTATAGTAACAGTTTTCCAATTTGTAATAAAATGGTTTTATTATTGATTTTTTTAGAATTTTCAATATTCAGATCAACGTACAATTTTACTATTTATACATTGTTTGTTGTTTCATTATACAGTAACAATAATAAACTAAAATAATCAACAGAATTGCGCATTACAAACAGAATGATTTATCCTCGTTACACTTATTTCGTCAGCACTAAATCGGCGCGTTTGTTACTTCAGAGTTTGTTTACTAAAAATGTCATGTTGTAGCGTTTATACCATTGCTGAAGCGTAAAGACTGCTTACCGCTAAAACCCGAAGTAGTATTTGGAATGAAGTGAAGTAAACTTAAATTTCCATTGGATTGCGTGTGGCGAGAATAGGAAGCACACAATCGGCCAACCCCCCACAGAGTCACCGAGTACACAGCTCATCTGAGTGTTATAGATAAAGATAACTACCATGTAGGCAGCACAAGATAATCACAGCTTAATAACACTATCACGACACGACGCTCGATTGGATATGGACGCTACAACGTGTGAACAGGAACATGAGGTGCTTTCTAAACCATCTGCACAACTGGTTCCCAACAGCAACAGCTATTAGACCATTAGACCTGCCATTACCATTAACCGGTCAAGTTCAACCTCGTGTAGAGACTGGTTCTGTTAAATTATATGAAATTTGTTTCTTCGGCAATTAAGCGAACAGACTTTTTTATAAAGAGTGAATGCGTGAATATACACATAATAGTACAAACTGGTAAGCTGTATGTGTGTTGTGCCGATAAAATACCGTGTAGATAAAACCTGAAACAATGTCTGTATTTGAATGATATCTCTCAAGTCAGTACTTGAATAAAATAATTATTCAAACCCACACACATATTTAGCACCATACCTGTGAGTGGTGCAAGACTTGGAATTGTTATGAATTATTTTGGTGTTTACTTGTACATAAATAATTCCTCACATAACCAAAATGAAAAAAAAACGTTTATGCCAAATTAAATTGTAACTTTTATCTAAATTATCCTAGCAAACCTAACTTTAATGTAAAATCTATAAAATAATTAGCCATTTAAACACTATACAGCACGTTTTTAGGTTAGGTTAAATTCAAGCATTGAACGAAATGGGAAATGCTGCACCAGCTGATCGTAGTCGTAGTAGTATCTCTATATAAGCGTTACCGACTTATTTTCAAGCGTACACGTATAACGTGCCTAATAAAAGCACACTGTTTTGTGTTGTTTTGTTGAAATATTGGGGTGCGGCAAAAAAAATGAGTGCGGCAAAGGTAAGTAAATGCAGTAATTTGCTATTTTGTGTGCTATAATCAGTGCAAGGAAGCCCACATTGTCAGGTAACTGTAAGAAAACTAATTGTCAAACACCTAGTTTATATCATTTTGGCAATTCTAATATTAAGTGTATTCATAAGAACAACATGGAAACTTTGAAAGCCGTTGTGGTGCAAGGCCCTAGGAGAGTATTAAAATAAAAATATGCCTATGTCCATTAGGCTGGGGATGCAGGCTCTATTCATGGGGGAAGATCAGCTCATCTGGTCAAGTAGTTTTCAATTTATAATAATAGTTGCTCCCACTTAAATCATTAACATGATCAGTAACGCACTAAAAATAAAAACACGCTACTCTATTTCCCAGGCATTATTTTTCGGGGAAATAAACATACAAACACAATAGATTTTTGTGCACATTTAAGGATTAAATTAATAGGAAAAATCAACCAAACGAAAGACATTAAGCTGATAAATATTATGCACTTAAAAATAAAAAGCCCTATTCACTAAATATCACATATAATTTATTAAATGGAAAAAAACATAACTGTATACATACCTACATCGACGGATGAACCTTTTTGGCTGAAGGCTGTGTGCGATCCATCGATGTATATAACCAGTATCAAATAGTCAACGATATAACCTAACATCGATGGTGTTAGGTTATATACATCGATGGTGCGAGCATGTGTTCAATGTTCACATGTCAATTTTTGAGGTCAAATCAAATCAATACGACCAAACTGGCATGTTGTCAATTATGGACAATGTTGTATTACTTACGAAATAAATTACATTTAAGATCAAATAAATTAATTTAGTATATGTCATTGTTTGATTTATTAGAAAACATTCATTATTTAGGCTACTGCATTTTTTTAAAACCAAACTCAAATCTTGCTTCCTTGGCCTATCGTATAATGTTTTCTGAATCGTAAATCATCATTATGTCCCAACAGTTATTTTATGTGTTCTCAGTCACAGCAACTACATTATTCTATTAATATAATGATCAACATTAATTTTGCAAGACGATTCAATATTTTAATATCTGCTCATGTTAAGTTAATTATTTTCAAAGCAACCATCACTTAGTTTGTAGGCGATAATTAAATAACAATTTATGCATTAGTTGATTTGGAATTAGGAATCATGTATCTTTTTCACAGTAAACATTCTCTAATGACAAAGGGATTTTATTAAAGTAGAGTAAGTATATTTAACTATTGTCAAATTCCAAGAATATACAGGGTTTCTATAAAATAATGGTGCGGTTTTAACATCCTGTAAAACTGTTATAAGACAAATTAAATAACTTCTGTTGGTATCCCTGTATCCAGTCGCTCAAACAGTTTTGTTCACATTAGTTAAAACAGCTGTTTTGATTGTTGTGCTATTCAAAACACTTCTTATTCAATAAGTTGAGTTTTTTTTCCAGCATGTTTTCAGATCAGGAAAAACTAAGTGTGTATTAGTTAAAGTCAGTGACTTTAGTGCAACGGGCATTTCGAAGAACATTCTATTAAGCTCCGCCTCATAAAAACAACATTAATCGTTGGAGTAAGCAATTCATAAACAATGGGTCAGTTAAAAAGCTAAGTACACCTGGTAGACCACCAGTATCTAACCAGACAGTTGAAGACATCAGACTATCTTGTGTTAGAAGTCCAAAGAAATCCCTCCCTCCCCGTAGTCTTGAATTAGGAATCGGAATACCTGTAAGTACTCTTCACAAAGTTTTACATAAAAGACTCCATCTTCATGCAGAAGAATCATTCATGCAGTTTCAACGGTGACAAAAGAAATGTTGCAAAAGGTGTGGGCTGAAGTCGATTATCGTTTGGACGACTACAGGGCAAGGAATGGTGGCCATATTGAGCTTTATTAGATATGTATAAAATATTTTTAATGTAAGGAATCCAATAAAATTAATATTTTTTTGTACCTCTTCTCGTTATCTTTTTATTTCATAATTAAACCGCACCATTATTTTATGCAAACCCTGTATTATGCCAGTTTGTTTGTTTTGATTTAACCTCAAAATTTCACATGTAATGAACACATGATAGCACTGAAAAGGTTCATCTTCAAAGATATTCCACCACACCTTAACCGCTTCTAGCAAAAAAAATCCATTATTGCACTGTACAGACTTGTCTATTTTTCACCCCACGCTGTAAATAAAACATGTGATATAGTTCGGCCGCTTAGAAAGCGACCTCCTCCAACATTGGTTTAGCATTAGCGCGCAGGTCGTTTTCTAAGCGGCCGTAGGAATTTCTTACATTTGTTTTGATTTTCTGTTTATATTTCGTTGTTATTTCGTCATGCTGGCAACCCATAAAGCCCATGTTAATTTTTTGTTAATTTCAAATTCATTTTTTGTTAATTTAAAATTCATTTTTTGTGCTTGTCTTTGAGACTATTTTAATTTATAAAGGAAATCTGCACACCTACAGGAAAATAGCTTTCTTACAGTATGCGTAATTTTCCCTACGATGCACATGAGCTGAGAAAAAAGGTTTTAAAGAAACATGCTTGCCTATTAATATATATAGATAATTTAATATTTTCTTAATTAAGAACAGGGACCTCTACACATTTTATCCTGGTAAATTTCTTTAAGGAAATCTAAATTTACTTGATCTTTCATACGTACAAACATGTTCAGCGAAAGTTACATTTCTCTGGCCCGGATCAGGTTTAAGGACAGGAATGACCTTGATCAACTTGGTTTCCGGTGGATGACGACCGGAAATCACAAACATGCCAGGTGAGAGAAAGAAACTACTCAGCGAAAGTTAGAACCTGACAAGCCTGAGAAGGGTACAACATACTTCAATATAACTAACTCGATCATTGATACCCACAGACCAATCCAAGTATAATCATTGAAGGGCTTGCATTTTTACAGTTTGTCCAGTCAGAACAAAATTTCTAAAACTATATAATATCGGTTGGTCCATTAAACCTGATTAAAAAAAAACATAAACTAAAGCGATCTCAAAAACCATCGAACACTCGATCAGAGGAGTTTGTTTATCGTAATCGTGGTCTCATTGACGAGGGCTGAAACAGCAAACAGCTAAAAGTGAACTACTGTCAACTTTTTAGTTTGTAATTCCTACATGTTTGTGGCTAACTACCAACCATGAAATATTACGATTGTATGGTGTTTAATGTCGGCAGCTGAGCGAATCTAAATAACTTTATTGTCATTTTCATAATAATAAAATATCCATGAAGAAAATATTTAATGTAGGTTAACAACAAGTCAGTAAAGTATATTGCTATTTCTCGAGGAGAAGTACCCAGAGAACAATCCATCGCAAACATCAGTTACAGAGTCTCATACGGTAAACACTGCTTAGTATGACATTCTTAGCGATAAATACTATACTTAGGATTTCACTTATCACACTGCAATCTTAAACTATTAATAAAATTAATCTATTTAGATTTTTTTCACAAACTTTAATTTATTCACAAATAGACAAAATTTAATTCTTACATTAATTTTATTAATTACATTAATTCTATTTAGATTGTTTACCTGATCAAAACATGCTTCTACATTTTGAACTAATTTACCGGTTGTAACGCTGTTGAGTAGGATCGAAAATATAACTTGGTATCAAAACTTAATGTTGGCCTTGCAAAAAAGACCAATGAGGTACTATATATTACTAAACCTTTTTGATTGTTATACTATTATAACAGTAATAAGTTATTTATTGTGTAGTAGATAATCTTATTGCAGTGACTGGTTCATCGGACAAATGTCCAATATCAGTGAGTAATGTGATTGTACACCAACTGAGAATGAAGACACACTTTTAAGGCAAAGAATAACTATTATAAACAGGTTAGGTTTATATGAAACTTTACTAGCAGTCAAATAAAATAATCTTATAATCTAATTATACATTTTATCATCAATAACATAAACACTGCTTTGGACTATGCACGAATAAATAATAATTTACAGCACTAACTAAGTCAATATACACAAAGTTCTACTAATTCCATTTTTAAACTAGAGAACATCAGACACAGAACAGTACGTTGTTGAGGTTCACTGCTTGGACGAGGGGATAGCGATGCCGAACCTCATGGCCTCCAGAAACCGCGCCAACTCGTGACGACTAGAACATCAATGTGATTATCAACTGCAGAACATCAGACACAGAACAGTACATATGTTGAGGTTCACTGCTTGGACGAGGGGATGGCGATGCCGAACCTCATGGCCTCCAGAAACCGCGCCAACTCGTGACGACTAGAACATCAATGTGATTATCAACTACAGAACATCAGACACAGAACAGTACATATGTTGAGGTTCACTGCTTGGACGAGGGGATGGCGATGCCGACCCTCATGGCCTCCAGAAACCGCGCCAACTCGTGACGACTAGAACATCAATGTGGTTATCAACTGCAGAACATCAGATACAGAACAGTACATATGTTGAGGTTCACTGCTTGGACGAGGGGATGGCGATGCCGAACCTCATGGCCTCCAGAAACCGCGCCAACTCGTGACGACTAGAACATCAATGTGATTATCAACTACAGAACATCAGACACAGAACAGTACATATGTTGAGGTTCACTGCTTGGACGAGGGGATGGCGATGCCGAACCTCATGGCCTCCAGAAACCGCGCCAACTCGTGACGACTAGAACATCAATGTGGTTATCAACTGCAGAACATCAGATACAGAACAGTACATATGTTGAGGTTCACTGCTTGGACGAGGGGATGGCGATGCCGAACCTCATGGCCTCCAGAAACCGCGCCAACTCGTGACGACTAGAACATCAATGTGATTATCAACTGCAGAACATCAGATACAGAACAGTACATATGTTGAGGTTCACTGCTTGGACGAGGGGATGGCGATGCCGAACCTCATGGCCTCCAGAAACCGCACCAACTCGTGACGACTAGAACATCAATGCGGTTATCAACTGCAGAACATCAGATACAGAACAGTACATATGTTGAGGTTGACTGCTTGGACGAGGGGATGGCGATGCCGAACCTCATGGCCTCCAGAAACCGCGCCAACTCGTGACGACTAGAACATCAATGTGATTATCAACTACAGAACATCAGACACAGAACAGTACGTTGTTGAGGTTCACTGCTTGGACGAGGGGATGGCGATGCCGAACTTCATGGCCTCCAGAAACCGCGCCAACTCGTGACGACTAGAACATCAATGTGATTATCAACTACAGAACATCAGACACAGAACAGTACATATGTTGAGGTTCACTGCTTGGACGAGGCGATGGCGATGCCGAACCTCATGGCCTCCAGAAACCGCGCCAACTCGTGACGACTAGAACATCAATGTGATTATCAACTACAGAACATCAGACACAGAACAGTACATATGTTGAGGTTCACTGCTTGGACGAGGGGATGGCGATGCCGAACCTCATGGCCTCCAGAAACCGCGCCAACTCGTGACGACTAGAACATCAATGTGATTATCAACTACAGAACATCAGACACAGAACAGTACATATGTTGAGGTTCACTGCTTGGACGAGGCGATGGCGATGCCGAACCTCATGGCCTCCAGAAACCGCGCCAACTCGTGACGACTAGAACATCAATGTGGTTATCAACTGCAGAACATCAGATACAGAACAGTACATATGTTGAGGTTTACTGCTTGGACGAGGGGATGGCGATGCCGAACCTCATGGCCTCCAGAAACCGCGCCAACTCGTGACGACTAGAACATCAATGTGGTTATCAACTGCAGAACATCAGATACAGAACAGTACATATGTTGAGGTTCACTGCTTGGACGAGGGGATGGCGATGCCGAACCTCATGGCCTCCAGAAACCGCGCCAACTCGTGACGACTAGAACATCAATGTGGTTATCAACTGCAGAACATCAGATACAGAACAGTACATATGTTGAGGTTCACTGCTTGGACGAGGGGATGGCGATGCCGAACCTCATGGCCTCCAGAAACCGCGCCAACTCGTGACGACTAGAACATCAATGTGATTATCAACTACAGAACATCAGACACAGAACAGTACATATGTTGAGGTTCACTGCTTGGACGAGGGGATGGCGATGCCGAACCTCATGGCCTCCAGAAACCGCGCCAACTCGTGACGACTAGAACATCAATGTGGTTATCAACTGCAGAACATCAGATACAGAACAGTACATATGTTGAGGTTCACTGCTTGGACGAGGGGATGGCGATGCCGAACCTCATGGCCTCCAGAAACCGCGCCAACTCGTGACGACTAGAACATCAATGTGATTATCAACTGCAGAACATCAGATACAGAACAGTACATATGTTGAGGTTCACTGCTTGGACGAGGGGATGGCGATGCCGAACCTCATGGCCTCCAGAAACCGCGCCAACTCGTGACGACTATAACATCAATGTGATTATCAACTGCAGAACATCAGACACAGAACAGTACATATGTTGAGGTTCACTGCTTGGACGAGGGGATGGCGATGCCGAACCTCATGGCCTCCAGAAACCGCGCCAACTCGTGACGACTAGAACATCAATGTGATTATCAACTGCAGAACATCAGACACAGAACAGTACATATGTTGAGGTTCACTGCTTGGACGAGGGGATGGCGATGCCGAACCTCATGGCCTCCAGAAACCGCACCAACTCGTGACGACTAGAACATCAATGTGATTGGAAACTGGAATGTGTAGAGGAATTGGATCACGAAACCTTGCAACAACGGGATCGTCCGCAGATATTAGAACAGAAACGGTACGGATAAAAAACATAAAAGAATGGCGTCACTGGATGGAATCAAATAATTTCTACATGGTTTTGACAGTTGCATTTAAATACTAATACATATTTAATCCGTTGGATCGTCCGATCGGCAAACAATGTGCCCATTCCGGTGGTGCATCGTCGGTACCTACAGAACTTCCTTGGGTTTTCCTCAAGGCTTCAGCGTTAGTGTATAATCTTTTGTCGTAAAATATTCGACGGTTTTTAACAGTCGTAATTATCCCATTACTTAGTAAAACACCTAAAGTGTATTAAATAACCAAAATGGTATTTATAGAAATGTCACATTTTTATAAAGCTGTTTTGGCTACCTAGCTTTCCATAAGACCAATGTTAAAAATATTAAAATTTCATGATAAGGTTTTAAACTAAAAACTAATTTTCCCAGAACATTGGCTAGCATGTGTATTGTTTTGGCCTGAAACTAAGACATTCCTGACAATTTAAAGGAAATCAAAGGGGCCGTTTTTGAAATCGAAATCATTGTGTGCAAACGTTACTCGTATGCATATAGATAGATAGATATGGAACTGTAAGCCCATGTGCGTTAAAATCAATTTGTAAATATTTGTATTTGGAATTCACGCCATCGAAGCCATGTATAGGAAGCCATCGAGCCTATGTTTAAACATTTTAATGTCACTAAAATTGTTTCGTCTGCACTGAGACATCGCATTTAGTACCAGATATTAATTTAAAAATTATGTATTCATATATTATAATTTGAATTTTATTGATTTGTATTACTTTTTATGAATAAATGACCTACATTAAGTTTGATTTGAAGGTCACAAACAACGTCAAAGTTAATTGCAATATCTGGATTGTATAGGCTGGTTCGTCATAAGAAAATAAGTAAACAATTTTTGTTTAAATATCCTTTAAAGTTTTATTGATAATTAATCAAAGCATCAGGCTGATGCGCCTAGTAGAAACATTATCGGCTATTTTGGTTAACATTTTAGTTTTTGTCATTCCTTGTAACTATTTTCGTCAGAAAATTGCATAATATAGCTGTACAAACTGCTTTTATTGTTAGTTCAACCTTGAGCCAAAGACAAGTCTATTACTCGTGTATTGCTGTGTAGTCAGAGAAATATAGGATATGACCTTAAAAAAATGCAAGAAAAGGTTTTATGGTTTTATTTTGTTGTGTTGGATTTGCAGAATGACATACTAAAAGTTGCCAAAAATCGGTGAACGAAAAACCACTAAAATCACAATTTAAAATGGCGGCTTTTCCCAACATTGGAAGTTTTTTAAAAAAAGATACCATATGCATTTTGTATGAACATTTTTTGAGAAACTGACTTGATACCACCGCTGATATTTATTGGTACGTTAGTACTTCATTTTGATAGGGAACGTGTTTTTGGCCGCCATGTTGGATCCACCATATTGGACATAGATATTTTTTTTTAAGTAATGATAGTGTTGTGACACATAATTCCAAACTACATTTTTACACTGATTTCAATGCCGAAATCCGTTTTTAAATATGTTTTTTCATTTAGAAGATATATTCAAACAAAAACTCTCCCTCATACATTTCTTATGGATGTTTTGTATTTTGATATTTTTTTAAAAATTATTTATCTTATATCTCCAGTTCTTAATAACGCTTGCAGTTCGTTATAGCCTTAAAATATTCAATAATGTAAGGGCTTCCATTTGAGCTCTTGAGCATTAAAATCAGACTAGTTAAAGACCAGCTATGAACCTTAAAACAATATCAAGTTTAACTTTTTAGAAATCTATTTTTATTAAAACATTTATGACTCGGGTTGTTAATACGTCACCAAATTCTTTCTGGTCTTAAATTACTAGGTAAATGTTTTTCTTTAATTTTATTAATCATTAAATAAAATCTGAAAATTTTAAAATGAGTCATGAATCTTCATTTAACAGTAAATTATTTCTTTTCCGAAATTTGTCTTTAGTTAAGGACATATATCCCAAAACCTAATAATTCCCAATAAGTAATCCATAGCTAAAATGAAAGTCAGTAATGTTACGAATTATTTAAGACTATAAAGAGTTTTGGGAGTTATTTAGAATTGGGGATATACGTCCTTAACTAAAGACAAATTTCAAAATAAATACAATTTAATATTAAATAAAGATCTACGATTCAATTTAAAATTATCAGATTTTGTTTAATGATTAATAAAATCAAAGCCAAACATCTACTGAGTAATTTGAGCCCAGAAAGAACTTGGTGACGTATTAACAACCCGAGTCATAAATCTTTTAATAAAAATATATTTCTAAAAAGTTAAATTTAATATTGTTTTAAGGTTCGTAGGTGGTCTTTAACTCGTCTGATTTTAGTGCTCAAGAGCTCAAATGGAAGCCCTTACATTACTGAATATTTTAAGGCTAGAACAAACTGCAGCCGTTAATAAGAACTGGAGTTTTAAGAAAAATAATTTAAAAAAAATATCAAACTACGAAACGTCCATAAGAAATGTATGGGGGAGAGTTTTCGTTTGAACATATCTTCTAAACGAAAAAATATATTTAAAAACGGATTTCCGTATTGAAATCAGTGTAAAAATGTAGTTTGGAATGATGTGTCACAACACTATCATTCATTACATTAAAAAAAATTATCTGTGTCCAATAGATAGATGGTGGATCCAAGATGGCGGCCAAAAACGCGTTCCCTATCAAAATGAAGTACTAACGACCCAATAAATATCGGCGGTGGTCCCAAGTCAATCTCTCAAAAAATGTTCATACAAAATGCATGTCGTATTTTTTTTTTTTTTTTCAAAAATCTTCCAATGTTAGGAAAAGGCACCATTTTAAATTGTGATTTTAGTGGGTTTTTTGTTCACCGATTATTTGAAAAACTTTTAGTATGTCATTCCGCAAACGCAAACCCAACACTACAAAGTAAAACAATAAAACGTTTTCTTGCAATTTCTTAAATTATCCCTGTGTCAGTTTTTTAGTTCAATTGGGCTATTGCGAACACGATGTCTTTCGTGTAGTCTTCATTTCTTATATAATTGCAATATTCTTTTACTAAGCCCAATTGTTGAACGGGAGTCACAAGTTATGACAAAGAAGTGCATAGTATACTTCTATACTTCTGAACTATGTTTTTTATATGTGGTTTTTATTTTATGATATTATTTAAAACACTAATTCCTGATTCTAATCGTGACCTTTCCAAGCGGCCAAGATGTTAAGTGTGCGAGCATGAAGATAACGTTTATGTAATGTGATAAGGGGTACAAATTTAACAAAAATATGATATAGTTTTAAATATATTTGGACTAGTTATTATTAGATGTGACAAAACTCTAATCATATAAGTTTATTTATGTTTTAAAATACTCCAAAAATAAATATAAACACAAATAAAAAGAATTTGATTTCTGCCTTGTGAATGTTTATGTTTAAGTGATTTTTTTGTTCAATGGCATCTTTAAGGTTTACACAGCTATCTGATAAATCTTTATTCACATATATTAAAAGACACCCTTTTCTTTGTTTGTTATTTTGGGTATCGCTTTGGCGTTAAAGTGACAATTTAAACTTAATTTTAACTTTAAATTTTGCATAACCACAGACTATGGTGGTTATGCAAAACCGAAATAGATAGAAGTATTCTGTTTATGGCGTTGATTGTTAACAATAACAAAGGTCCCAACATCTTTTACATCAAAAGTATGTGTTAATCCTTGAATTATTGTGCTATCCTTGAATCTCCCTAACAGGGTTGGTGGTAGGGGGTGAATTATATTTTTAAAACAGCAACCCCTATTGAGTGACCCCTTATTTTGAAGCGTTTCTTAAGAGAAATACAATGACGCAAGCCCTATGTAGATATCTCACCCCTAAATTTGATTTACGAGGAAAAGCACCAATTCCACAAATATGGAAACACGTCTGTATTTTTTACCGAAATACAGTAGAAATATTCTGTTTGTAGCATTGATTATTAAAAAAGGGGTTGGGATTTTTTACACTATAGGTGGCATTTCCATCTCACTTAATAATGACAATGATGTAAAAACAAATTAATATGTAATAAATGTACAGTGTTAGCGAATTTCCCTATAGGGAAGTAGCTATTACCGTAGGTGGCACGGTAAGACCTAGACCCGGGACCGATTTACTTTTTCATTTTGATGTCCCCAGAGGCCAAAAACACCATTCGTTCAAATTTTTATATATGTATATATATATATATATACATATATATATATATAGCCTATGTGTAGACTTATATATATATATATATACGTCCGTGAACGTGATAACTTGAGTAATTTTTGTCCGATTTAGTTGAAATTTGAATTAAAGGTGTAAAGCGGGATAAACTTGAATGAGTTCGCGAACCAGCACGATCGGACCATGGGAACGGGGCTTTACGGGGGGTTTTATGGGGTAAAAATTGGTTTTTCTCACTTTTGACCCTCAAAACACAAAATTTCCCGATTTCTCTTTAGACCTTTTTAAAGAGCTTAAAAAAAAAAATAATTTAGTACATAAAAGTATTTTTGTTCAATTATTAGTAACGGAGAAAATTAAAAAAATTGTAAATTTAAAATTCCCATGTTATTCTTATGGAGAATATTGTAAAATGTTTTAGTTTGCTTTTTGATCAAACTTGGCAAATTTATTTATTTTGTACTAAGCTATCAATATTTTACTCAAAAACACACTTTATTAGTTTCCTTGTAGCAGCAAACCTAGGTACTCGTTAAACCTAATGTTATTAAAATATATTTAACTGAAAATCAATTCAGACAAATGGAAATTCGCTTAGTCGGCAGGTTTGCTGCGGCGGGGGTATTTTGATGTATATGATGTTTGAAAAGCTGGTATATTTAACAATAGTCTACATTATTGATCTGGTGATTTTTACGATTTTAAAATAATTACCAACACGGTCGAAACCAAAATACTATTGAATTTTAGGTTTTACTTTTGACAGGGGATTCTTAACAGGTGGCCTATAGTATGCCAGGTTTTGCTATCCACAGCTACATTGTTGGAAAGTGAAATCATATACAAGTCCAGGGTATTTGGTAACCATAAGTAGATAGGTAATAAAATATACTTTGCAAATATAAATTCCTGAATTGTACGGGGAAAATTTAGAACATTTATTTCATAAAGGAATTCAGAATCCTGACTCGCCAAGTATGAACGATAACATAACACACTATTTGAATATGCAACTTAGGGCGGAAATTAACTAGCAGCTAGACCTCACCTTCTGGTTTCTCCCGGCATGATGCACGTCTTCAGCTCGGTGTCCCATGTCCCAGGGGCGCACAGGGCTGCAAACCTCTGCCTCTCCTCCAGATCCTTGGCGGAGGTCTTCGCCCTCGGAGCTGCCAACATGTCCACAAGACCTGGAGCCCACTTGTTCTCCGGTTTGTACCTGATCACCTTCTCCCTCCGAGACCCTTCCACGAGGCTAGAAGTCTTCTTCGCAGTCACAGGCTCCTCCGGAATCTTCGCTGGACTTTGTCTCTCCTCCTCCTCCTTTGCTGCAATCGGTTTGATTAAGTCTTTAAGTGTAAGTTTCTTCACTGGGGTTTCCGGGGTGGCGTCATTTTCTTTTTTCGTCAAAGAGGTTTTGCTATCAGCAGAAGCTTCTGTTTTTGATGACGGTTCTTTATTCTTAGCCGCTATATCTTCCGATGTGTGTTTTTTGGCTTCTAGTTCCTTATCTACATCGGGTTTAGAATGTTCATTATGAATTTTTAATGGTTCTTCAGGTTTTATTTCCAAATCCTTGGACGGAATAGGTAATTGCATCTCTTTATTTGCCTGGGCTTCATTTTTTAATTTCTCGGACGCTGACACTTTTAGCACTAATTCTTTGATTGATTCACTGACTGTCGAATGCTCTTTAATGGGACCAACTTCAGAGACATCCGATTTTTTAGTTTCGGTTGCTTTCTCAGTAGTTTCGGGTTTCATTTCTTCCACTGTAGCAACTACTTCTTCATCCTTCTCGGAGTGCTTATCGCTTTGTTGGACGATAGGCACGTCCTCTGACACTGAAGCCGGTGCATCCTTTATGTCATTCTCATTCTCGTCTTTGACGATCTCGTATCGGTCAATGTCGTTTTTCTGCGGCTTCTGCAAAAACTGCAGAATCTCGTCCTTGCTGGGTTTCTGTCCGAATCTGTTGATACCTTTTAGCCCGAGAAGGTCGAAGTTGCTACTGGGGACGAGGACGATGACGATGTTGTCCAGTTGAGCGTGGATGTTCAGTTCTCCTTGCTGCCGCTGGTCGTATGTCCTCAAGGGTGACGTTCCTGCACCGACCACACACAACAACAACACTGCTGCTAACACCGCCATCTTGGATCTAGGTCCTTGCTGCTGAGAGACCAAGGTCCGACTGGTCCAGAAGCTGCGAGGAAGGTCAGTCGACAAACGAGTTCTCCGCCATCTTGACCGTTCTCTCCACTCACCGCCACTCCCATTTCCTGCTGATGATCCTGTGCTTGCGCCTGTACGTTGGATGTCCTCAGGATGCAACTTGTCATTACCGGGTTCAACGCCACGATGCGACGCCTCGTCCTGGTCCTAGTCCTGTTATGTTGGTTATGTAGGGACATTAACGTGATTGTAAGGCTTGTTCGGTGATTGTCTAAGTCGGGATTGGCAGGATTATTATTTGTGGCCGCACGCCGCACGCCGGGCCGTTATGATTGAGGGTTCGCGCGAGTGTCTCATATTCTTCTACGGTTGAGTTGAATACCTTCCATTCACTTCTAATGTACGAGTAATATGATCAAAAGCCATACTTAAATATATGGTAGCACAGCTACTGGAGTCAATAAACCTCTACCTCTAATCTAAATTAACAATTTAAAGAATACAACAACTTGTTTGGTTATTTCAAGCATTAAGCTACCTCAGGCAGTAAATGCGTGTTTTCTGTTTTATGATATTTTATAACAATTGTATAAAGAAATGTTGCTAATAAACCAAAACTAATGTTTACTTTGATCAGAAGCCATCTTAAACTTGTGTACCGTACTGTACAAATGCATTGTGTTTTCACTTAAAGTTGAATTGTTTGGAATTTTTGTGGATATAACTAGGAGATAAAACCTTTATTTAACAACAACAAAATCGTTATCATTGCCATCAAATTTAGGAGAAGCTCCAGCCACTAAAATAGGTATAAGTACCTGGCATAATAAAAATATAGAAAGATTTGCAGACAAAAATGGCTGTATCACAGAGGCCATATACAAAATTAGTTTGTGACTAATTCACAATTTGCCCAATTCACGCACTTATTGGATGATAAAAAATAACGGACATCCTACTAATATTACAAGTAAGAAAGTATGGATGTATGGATGGATCGGATGGATATTTGTGACAAGTAAACGCGAAAAATACTGGTCGAATTGGGCTGAAATTTGGTGTGGTGATAGCTCACATTCCCGATTAACATATAGACGCATTAATATCTCAAAAATCCTTTCGGGCTCCGCCCCAGTGGCTCTGGAGTTTCCCAAGGTAACCTTATCCATATATAAACCCCAAAGTACCATGAACTTCTGAGAAAATTAAAAGTCATACTCCCATAAACCATGTACTTAAAATGTTCGTCATGACGAGAAACCTTGCTGAAAACTATCCGTTATTTCATAAATTGCCCTTTAAGGTCGTAATTCCTTTCTAAAGGGAACTTAATGTTAAAAATACCTCAGCTGTACATATTTCTTTGTATTACCAATGTATTCAATGTATTACAAAGTAAAGATTATTCATGCGGTATTAATTTATTTTGTTTTGTTAATTTCAGCTTAACTTAACCAATCAATAGTTTTGAAGTCAAAAGGGGTGAAGCCCGTGCGTGGGTAACAGTGAAAATTCAAATTCATATTCAAGGAACTAGCTGCTTCCCAACACCCCGTTTCACTTCATAAGTATTAATAAAACGATTGATTGGTTAAGTTATGCTGAAATAAACAAAACAGAATACAGGACAGTAATGGAAATACAAACAAATCATCAAACCTGATTTTAATAAGTAATAAATTGAAAGAATAACAAAAAATAAGTACAGCTGAAGTATTTGTAACATTAGGTATATGGAATGTTCCTTTTAGAAAGGAATTACGACCTTAAAGGACTATTTATGAAATAATGGACAATATTGCGCAAGTTTCTCGTCATGGCGAACATAGTATACTAGGTGAAACCCGTCGAAATCGACGGTCACTGTCAACGCTTACGCTAATTATTCATCTACGGAAAGTTAGGTGTAGTGGAATATACTTGAAGTGAAGTTGGCTTTTACTCTTGAACTGTTAGGGACCTCCTCATTTATATGGTTGTGCGGCTTCATTAGCAACAAATAATTCAAATTACATAACAATGCGGCATTTGGAAAGAGCAATAAATACTGTAAATTGGCTGTTACGTAAATATTGACGTTTACATGCATTGTTAAACAACGTATCTTATAAAGGGTGATGTGATCTAGTTTAAAAGGAATATGACCTTCCTATCATGACAGTAGCTGCTTAAATAGTATTTACTCATTATGCTATTTTTACAGCCAAAATGTCGTGTTATTTTAAATCATGATACCAACCCAGTGGGCCACGGTCCGTAATATAGGCCACTGCAAATAATTTGTCAAGATATGTACCATTTTAGCCAAGGTTTCTGTGTTTGGATGTTATTAGACACGGTAAGAGCCCAATAAAATTCTTCTGCAGATGAATTTTCTGTTGGAGATATATAAGCCGAATTATAAATGTCACAATGCGAGTTTGAGTATTTTGTAACTATATGGGTAAGTTACATAGTATTTTCGAGGCTGCTGCTCAGTGCACTTTAAGAATATATTTTTAGAGATATTTTTTTTGTTGCTGAGTAGCGTTAGTAAACACTCACAACCCATTTTGTTATTCTAATAACATTCAAAGGCTCTCTAAGAGTTAAAATTATTATTTGTATACTTATCTATATTATGTTTTCACTAAGCTGAATTAACAACATCGAAGTAACCTCTCTGAAAAGTATGTAGTAAATTGCAGTTTTACGGCTTAATGATTTTCTAAATCATGCACCATGCACATATTTCTACATAAATACTGTAAAATGTTTTATCCAGTTGCTGTAAACTACTATTAATTTGGCAAAATATGGACACTGCTCAAATGGGCAACGTGCCCTTCTGCACTTGTTACTTTCTCCCCCTATGCCATAGTATATGGAGAAAGTATTGTTTTCGTCAAAATTTTGTATATTCGTTTTGGGTCCCCCTGGACCCAAAAAAGTGGTTTTCGAAGTGATGTCTGTGTGTGTCTGTGTGTCTGGATGTGTACAGAGCTAGGGACTACACCTGTGGTCCGATTTCGATGGAATTTGGTATGTAGGTTCTAATCCATGGTATCTCCAGGCGTTTTTTTCATTTTTTGAAATTTTGATTTTTAATGGGGATTTTCCCATAAGAACCCATAAAAAACCGGAATAATCAGATTTTCTAAAAAATGGCAAGAACGATTTTGATAAAAATTTAATATGCTGTAGCCCTTTAAATTCTGAACAAAATGAAACAAATCCCATTTCTGTAAAAATTTCGGTTCAAAAGTTATTGTAAATTATGATATTTTCTCATAAAAACCCCATAAAATAACAAAAATAGGATTTTAGAAAAAATCCGGTTTTAATTTAACATAGTATGTTTTGGTCCTTACAATTTTGATAGTTTTTTTGCTTTTTAGAAATTTGGATTTTTAATGAGGATTTTCCCATAAAACCCCATAAAATAACAGAAAAATAGGATTTTCTCAAAAATGGCCCGAACGATTTTGATAAAAAATTAGTATGTTATAGTCCTTTATATTCTTAACAAAATGGTACAAATCCCATTCCTGTAAAAATTACGGTTCAAAAGTTATTGTAAAATATGTTATTTTCCCATAAAACCCCATAAAATTACGGAAAATCGGATTTTCCCAAAAATGGCCCCAACAATTTTGATAAAAATTTAGTATGTTATGGTCCTTAAATTCTGAACAAAATTGTTCAAATCCCATTTCCGTATATTTACTCTCACCGCTTACACATGATAAAGGTCGTTGACAAACTTATGGAGAAAGTATGTGTCAGAATGCTGATACCGTTTATTTAATTTTGTATTGTATTACACAATCGAAGATTTTTCCAATGATTGAAAACATGTATAACAATAATCTCGTGAACCTATGATGATCTGTAGAATAAAATGATAAAATGTAGGCAAAAGTGGGGGAAAAGGCAGACAACAACCCGTACAGCAGATATATAAGGTAGTTCAATAAGAAATTATTGTAAGAGTTCTGTGAGTTCTGTGAAGGAATTTCCACTGATTTCGTAATGGAATGTTATATTGCAAAACATGACATGATAAAGAAGAAAATAAATTTTAAAATCAGAAAATAGCATTGCAAATACTTCTTTTGGACAATTTAGTAAGTCAACTCCCAATAAATGTGTGTTGTTTAAAACACAATTGAAAAATCAACAGCTGTTTCATTAAAAAGTATTATCCACATGGCCAAAATGTAAACAAATTTGTCGAGGTATCTTTAAAGGCTTCTGGGGCAGAGCCCTAAGGGAATTTACTTCGTGTTTCTTTTGATAACTCATCTACAGACCAAGGCCTTTCTTTGGAGATCCCTACCAAGTTTCTACGTCCAGCCGTTCTCTCAAATTAGTGGAGACAAAGTTTCCAATTAAATATTTAGATTCCCCCATGTTAATCTTATGGGATAAAACCCAACTTTGATGGAAGATACTGCACAAACCAGTAAAGATTTAAAAAAAAAAACCCCTTTGCAAAACTATAGATCAGGGCCATTCTTTTGACTTTAATCCTCAAAATCGGTCCAAAAATGAGGGAGGAGTTCTGTTTACAAAAATCTGCTTAGCGTATTATATATATATATATATGGTTTATGGGGGTGTGACTTGTAGTTTTCTCAAAAGTTCATAAGTACTTTGGCATTTACATAATACTAGGGGAAACCCGTCGAAATCGACGGTTACTCTTGAGGTTTTATGTAACTTCAGCTAACTGCGATGATAGAGTGAAAATATTATTAATCCAGTCTGACTGGGTTACTGTGTAACCCTATCTACCATAATATGTGACCATGTCTATTGCAAGATTGTTTTGCTTAAGGACAATAAAGGATTTTTGATTTCTGATTTTCTGACTGGGGCAATATAATCTCTCTACGGAATGTTAGGTGTAGTAGTAGAATATACTTGAAGTGAAGTTGGCTTTTATTCTTGAACTGTTAGGGGCCTCCTCATTTATAGTATGGTAGTGCAGCTTCATTGGCAACAAATAATGCGAATGACATAGTAAGACCA